AATAACCTACCTAGATATTCACAGATAAATCACAGAATGTACACTAAAGTTAATAAATAAAATGTCGATTAAAACGATTTAAAATGAATGAAGTTCAAGAGAGAGAGAGAGAGAGAAAATAACTGAGTACCTGCACTACTCTTGTTTTTAACAATTTGTAAATATTTAACCATTGAAGGATTCTTCTACTTTCTTGTTTTATCTAATTACTATAAATAATAATTGGATCAGATGTTAAAAGAATCCACTGTAGATCGATATTAACAATGATCTATCAGACTTGATTCATTTTTAACAAAAATATACATATGATCAAAATATATAAAGTATGTTAAACTATTTAAGCTTATAACATGAAGTAGCCACATTATTTGCAATTTTTTACAAAAAAAAATAGAATACATGTAAAGTTTAGAATATTAAATCAAATTTTTCATATTACTGTTAAAATATGATTAAGTTTAAATTCACTTGGTATTGTTTTACTTAAATCTTCCCATTGATGTTTATGACTTCAATTGATCAGTCTCTTATTGACATATGTGTATATTATACGTACTACCTTGATATTGTCTTAATTCACAAACATTAAAAGCAAATATGGATAGTGACTACTAGTGGAATTCCATAGTGAACATCAACTCTGATGAGTCCCGAATAGGATGAAAAGCGTATCATAGATTCCACTGCTAGCCATAATCCATATTTGCTTATTATAATTTATTTTATCTGAGATTATTAGAATTTCTACATGATAATAATTACAAGTATGTTAATAATTTAAAAATTAGTTTGGTTTTTTTTTCATTTTCGGTCAACATATTCTTATCATTCCAATTATGAAGTAATTCATAAATCTCAATATTCTCTAAATTAGTGTGTATGACCTAAAAAATAAGTTTTTCAAGAAACATTCACCGATAGCAGATGCAAACTAAGATAGAAAAAACTTCTATGAATACTGTTAACGATCGTTAGTTTGGCATTAAGCTACTTCTAGTAATTTATATAAAATGACATAGCTATTTATTGAGGTAGTAGTGTACAGTTTTATCGTGATAAAATCGTAGAGAGAAATTAGTTAACAGTTCAGAGAAATAACTTTTGACACTAAAGATATGATGTGTGAAATTATCCAAAATAAATTTATAAGCGAATGTTATTAAGAAATCATGTTTTTATCTTGTGTATTTATACAAGAATTCACAAAGTTGACTAAGTGGATATAATTTGATCTAGAAATATCAAAGACAATCATCAAATATGGTTATAAATCACATTGATGTAATCCGATATTTTAAATTACAAATTAGGAAAACCTAATAATTTTGCATAACCAAAAAGATGATCAGGCTATAAAACGAATAAATGAACTATTTAGTTGATTAGAATATCCGTAGAACTAACTACGCAAACAGCTACTACTTATTATCATTAAGAACACTCACCATTTATGGGTTCGAATTGTTTACATAAACGTGTAAGTCGGAATATATAACGCCGGGTCTCCAGATATCATGGGACCACTTGCACTGGGAGAAAGGAGCGACAGTAGTGACAAATTTGAAAATTTATTTCCAAGCCATTCACTCAGATTCAAGAATAGAGGAACAGGTGAGCAATACACATTGAACATCTCTTAAATACACCAACTCCACTGAACACACCGGACATCAAACCAGCATACACAGACATTCCTATAGCTCTCGCTCCACCAAACATAGAACAAATCACGATGACCATCAAACAAATCAAGAGTGGGAATGCAGTAGGACCAGACAACATACCACCTGAAACACTGCAATCAGACATGCAAGCGACTGCAAACATGCTCCATATTCTATTCAGAAAGATTTGTGAGGAGAAACAACTGCCACTGACAGACTGGAATGTAGGATATTTCATTGAGACAGGGAATGAAGGAGATGTGAGCAAATGTGATAATTGAGCTAAAGAGGCATCACCCTACTATCGGTAGCAGGAGAATTTTTCAACAGAGTGTTGCTCAACCGGATGAAAGATTCAGTAGACGTCAAACTTTGACAAGCTTATGGAAACATCTTCGACACTATGGTGTACCTGAGAAAATAGTCAACATCATACGGAATTCGTATGATGGACTGCAGTGGAAAGACATGAATGGAGGACGGCTGACAAATGAATTCCATATAAGGGCCGGAGTCAGACAAGGCTACTTTCCTTTTCGTTTGGTGTTTGACTGGATTACGAAGACCTCCACATATGGGGGAAGCACAAAATAAAATTGACAGGTTGGATGCAACTAGACCATTTGGACTTCGCAGATGGCCTAGCTCTTTCATCTAATACACACCAACAAATTCAGGTGAACACAGACAGTGTAGCAGCAGTCTCTGCATCAGTAGGCCTACACACACAAGGGAAGGAGTTATATCATCAAATACAACACTAAGAACACCAACAAAATCACACTTGATGAAAAAACACTGTAAGAGATGGAAACTTTCAAGTACTTAGACAACACCATCGATGAACAAGGAGAACTAGATGCAGACGTGAAGGTGAGGATCGGCAAATCAGTACAGTACTTCTATAATTGGAGAACACGTGCGACTCAAAACAACTGTCTGCGAACCAATAATAAATTCACAATCTTTAACACAAACGTGAAGACAGCGAATTATATTGTACGGAGCTGAAACCTACAGAACTACTACAACCATCGTCAAAAAAGCATATGTATGTATAAATAGTTGTCTACGAAAGATCCTCAATGTTTGTTGACTGAATACGATCAGCAACAGACTACTGCAAAGGCGAACAAACTGACTTCTAGCTGAAAAGGGGATTAGGAAAAAGACGTTGGAGGTGGATAGGACATACATTGAGGATGTGATCAAACTGTATCATAATGCAAGCGCTAACTTGAAATCCTGAAAGGAAGAGAAAAAGTGGAAGACCAAAGAACACACTGAGTTGGAGATTTGGAGTAGATATGTAAAGAATGAATGACAACTGGGAAGAACTGAAAAAGATCGTCTAGGACAGAGTTGGATAAAGAATGCTAGTGGATGGTCTATGCTCCTCTATGAGGGGTAACGAGCGGAAGTAAGTCAATAAGTGAATAACATAGCTAACAACAGCCTACCTCGGTACTCGATGTCTGGCGATATAGGAAATGAATGAAGGAAAACTAGAAGTGATTAAACATGACGCAGCATCAGTTCATAAAGTCAGTGATAACTTAACAGAATCGATTTGATAAGTACGGTTTGCCTGGTTCGGGCTCTCACTATTACTTAACCGATGGTTAGGGACGGTAGAGTACGTGGATCGGAATTGATCACTAATTATTTAATTCATTAACTTCTTTTCTTCTCTTCGGTATAGAGTTTAGGAATAACCGTTTACTTTTTATCTCATTTTTTTCTCGAATCGTAATTCTTATACTTAGTTTTTTCTACCACTACTGATACTGGTACTGCTTCTACTACTCTGGTGTTTGACTTTAATATTTCATTTTGCTGTTGTAATAGGTTGAAACAACCTGAACGGAACACGTATATACCATTTGCTACATTGTATATGACTGACTGCTAACATTTAAAGTAATTATATGGCATAAACTAAAAATGTAAACAACTGGCCTTCGATCCAATAGTTCAAGGGCGATGTGATTACTAAAAAAACTGGAATTTCTTATGTGTAATTTCTGTCATGGGTACACACTGCTGTGAAATTTCAAAGTAGACCACTACAGTTTTATGTTACTGCATTGTTTTTAATGATTCACTAACTAAAGTTGATCTATAACATAAGTGATTTCAAAAATATTCTATTCAGTTTATCATTTATTGTGTAATATGAAAGATATCAGATTTTTTCATAACAATAAGTTGTTCACATGTACTTAGCATACAAATGTGTTAAATAAAAAATAAAACTAGTTTTTTCAAGAGAATGAATCAACTGAAGGAAAAATATAACATAAATTATGATGCTTATTTCTCTCTTATGTTTTTGTATTCATATTCACACACAAGATCGATTAATGAACTAGCAGGTATATCGTATTTTAGTTATTGCAAACTAATTATTATATTTTGACATTGAACGGTAACTGAAATCAATACATCATTTTTAAATAAACAAACGAAGTAAACCTATATGAGACCGTTACTTCACGGGGCTTTGTTTTGTTTTACTTCAAATATTTATTAATATAATGAAACATTGATTACTTTCGAGTAGTTCAATGTACGTTACTTCAATAAATACTTTTCAACCCCAAAGTATATGGATGACATAGTCTTAACAGGC